CTTTGCTTAGTGGTTTTTTCCTTTGTGTATCTAAACTGTCTTTCAATATTTTTTGCAGGGTTGGTTTGGTGTTCATGAAGTTCTTCAGCTGTTCTTTGTCATGGAAGTTTCGTATTTCACCATCTATTTTAAATGATAGTGTTGCAGGATATATCAGTCTAGGTTGGAAATCATTTTGCTTTAGGATCTGGAATACTTCACTCCATGCTCTTCTTGACTTTATTGTTTGTGCTGAGAAGTCTGCTGTGATTCTGATAGGTTTTCCTTTATAAGTGATCTGTCTTTTCTCTCTGACAGCTTTTAATAATCTATTCTTGTGTTGGATTTCTGGGATGGTGATTATTATATGTCTGGGTGTAGTTTTATTTTGGTTATGACTATTTGGAGTTCTATATGCTTCACTGATCCTGATGTCAGTTTCTGATCTCATGCTTGGGAAGTTTTCAGCTATTGCTTCTCTAAATATCCTCTTGATATCCTTTATGTTGTCTCCTTCTTTTTCATTAATCCCTATCATTCTTATGTTATTCTTCTTTGCATCATCTTGCAGTTGTTGAATTGTTATTTCCTGATTCCTTGTTATTTTTAAAAGATCTTTCCTTTCCTGTTCACTTGCTGCAATCCTGTCTTCAAGGTCTGAAATTCTGTCTTCACTTTCATTAAGGCGGTTTTTACAACTTTCAGTGGAGTTTTTTATTTCCTGTATATCTCTGTGCATCTGCATTATGTATTCTGTTTGTTTCTTATATTGCTCGTCTAGGGATTCTATCTTTTTGTTTAATTCCTCCAATTTTTTATCTGTGTTTTCTTTAGATATATTTAGAATCTCTTTCATTTCTTTTATCATTTCTTCTTTTATCTGAGAAATTATTTCGAGTTTGAATTTCTTTAAAGCTTCCTGGAGTTGCTTGTCAACTTCAGTAGCTATTGTGTCTAATATATGAGGAGGATGGGATATATTTTCTTCTAAATACACTTCTCCTAGGGTTTCCTGAGTTGGGCTGGAGGTTTGAGGTTGTAATTTGGTCTTTCGTTTTGTCATTTTCCTATATTTCTGTGTTTCAAGTGTTATTTGAAAGCCTCCTCAGGATCTGTTGAAAATCCCCTTCTATGTTTGCAGCTACTGAGACTCTGGCACCCCTCTACCCCAGGCCATTGGGCCTGCAGAACCAATGGCCCTTCTCTGCTTGATCAGAACTCCGCGGTTCCAGACAAGCTGGGCCTCAGGGACACTGTGCACCCACCTGCCCCTTGGTAGATCCACAGCTCTTGGATCGCAGCCGGGTTAGGGTACTCACCACAGACCGCAGTGCCTCAGGAGCCTGTGATCCCTCCCTGCTGGCAGAGATATCCACAAACCTCCAGACAAAGGAAGGGCCTCCTGCGGGCACTCCGGATCTACCCCGCTCCTCCTCTGCACGCAGATGGCTATGCGCGGCTGGGCTCAGGCCGAGGTGCCTCAGGAACCCGGGACCCCTCCTCCTCCAGACAAAGGAAGGGGCCTCTGCAGGCGGCTCCGGGTCCGCGCAGCTCCTCCTCCGCACACCGACGGCCAGGCGCGGCTGGGTACGGGCCGAGGTGCCCCAGGAACCCGGGACCCCTCCTCCTCCAGGCAAAGGACGGGGCCTCTGCAGGCGGCTCCGGGTCCGCGCAGCTCCTCCTCCGCTCACCGAAGGCCAGGCGCGGCTGGGTACGGGCCGAGGTGCCCCAGGAACCCGGGACCCCTCCTCCTCCAGACAAAGGACGGGGCCTCTGCAGGCGGCTCCGGGTCCGCGCAGCTCCTCCTCCGCACACCGACGGCCAGGCGCTGTTGGGTACGGGCCGAGGTGCCCCAGGAACCCGGGACCCCTCCTCCTCCAGGCAAAGGACGGGGCCTCTGCAGGCGGCTCCGGGTCCGCGCAGCTCCTCCTCCGCTCACCGAAGGCCAGGCGCTGCTGGGTACGGGCCGAGGTGCCCCCGGAACCCGGGACCCTTCCTCCTCCAGACAAAGGACGGGGCCTCTGCAGGCGGCTCCGGGTCCGCGCAGCTCCTCCTCCGCTCACCGAAGGCCAGGCGCGGCTGGGTATGGGCCGAGGTGCCCCAGGAACCGCAATTTTGATTTCTATTTCAGTACTTTTCTTACAGCATGTCGTAGAGCAGGAATTTATAACTAAAATCAGCTTTTTGATGACACACACATTTTAAGTTTCCATACTTCTTCAGTTTCTCTATTGCGTATTATATGTAATAAAGAGTTGTTTTAATGTTTTTGTTTATGAGGCTTGTCCATTTTGTTCTTGAATACGAATAGTGCTTTTTATTGTTTTTTGCTTTTTGTGGAAAATAATTTAGAATAGAAAAAAACATTTTAAAGAACTGATACATTCAGCAGAAAAAGCCTGAGCCACTGCCAATAGCCTCTCACCACGGTTCCTCCATTGGCCTTTAAGTTTCCTCTTTGGAATCTTAAGAATGGTTAACTTGGGCCACTTCTTTCATTTTATAGTGTTTGAACTGAAGCCTAAGGAATTTAATTATTTATCTAAGGTTCCTGAAGTTAGTACTCAGCCAGCAGTAGGGCCCTGTCCCTTATTTCCTAAGCTGATGCTTTTCTATCACTTAGGAAACTTAAAGAGTGCAGCATTTTTCAAACATGTATTCTAGCAGCAAATCTTTTTATGTGAATGCTTCCTGTCTAGGTGAGAGCATGAGGAACAAAGCCCAGATTCCTCCTACTGAATACCCAGTCTGCATAGAAACTCATGTTTATTCATGTTTACTTCTGTGCTGCTGTTGCTCTCCAGGAACAGGCTGCAGGCTTTTATTGATGTAGCCAATCGAAAAAGTCACTCTTCATTTTGATGACTGCAGTTGTAGAAAGGTGTATTTTGGTTTCCAACCAGAGGGAGCCTGTGAAAACTGAGTTGGCAAAATTTATTTGGTATCTCACATTTTCACATGGCTATATTATGCTATTCACATTTTTTAATAAACTGCCAATCCCTACCACAAGCCCTTATTCTTGCATTGAATTACAAGTATTTCACTTAATATTTCTAAGCAACCAACTAAAATTAGTAACAATGTATTTTAAAAATGGAAAATGATTTATCAGTGCTTATCAATTTAGCACAGAGTTTTCCCAAGTACTGGTTGAATGAAACCTAAATGACAAGTTTTCACTCATAAATATATTGTGGCCTTTTTTAATGTATGGTGATATCTTGTATTGTAGACAAAGTTAAATATGACAGACATTTTTCTATTTATGATACCAGTTTGATTTAATTAATCTATCATCATAGTTACTGATTTTCTCTTTTGAATTAGATCTTAATAGATCTCTGTGAGAACAGAGAGAGAGCTTGTCTCTATAGACAGTGCCTTGATAATTAGGGCCATGAGAGTAGCTGTCAGCAGGTTTAGATTTTTGTTACTTTTTTAACTTTTTGTTTTTGTTTTCTTAATAGCTGGATGCTGTACTTTGTAGTTTGGCTTTCATTCACTAATGTGAGCAGAGAATTCAGGTTTTTCTGACTGAAGTTTCATTAGTATGTGAACATTCTGCATTACTCTTCAGTGAGTTACCTTCTGAACTAAAAATGGATCCCATCTGGGCCTGTGGCTCTAATCTCACACAAAAATCCTTTGGTTTTGGCATTACTGTTTCTCTTACGTAAGAATCTCCCCACTCAGACTGTGAAAATCCATTTCTCTTACTGACTCAAATTTTATTCTTCTTCTATCTCAGCATGATATTAATAAAATGAGTGGGTATAAAAATATGTGTATGTGCTTGGTGGAGTGAACAAGTCAATTTGTACTTGAATGGGTCTGTTTATATTTTAGCAGTGGGTGTTTACACCCAGATTGGGAAAGGAATGTATGGGAAGGAATAAGGAAGGATAAAAGCCTGGTAAAGAGGAAGGAAAACTGTAGAGAACCACCAAAAAACAGTAGTAATAAAGACCAGTGTTGAAGAGAAGAAACAGCTACTTGTTTTTTAAATCTCCTTTCTGTTGAAATGCTCTTTCCTTTCACATTAATAAAAATATTGGAAACATAATTGTTTTTAAAATGATGCAACACTTCACAGGACAATCCAAGTCACTCACTATGTAGTTCAAGATGGCCTCAAACTCACTGTGTACTCGAGGTTGACCTCCAACTCCAAGGGATCTTCTTGTCTCAGCCTCCCAATAACTATGATTACAGGTGTATGCCATCACACCCAGCTTACAAATAATGCTTATGTAATAACTTCTTAGAACAACTAAAGATAAAAGGAAGGAAACATTTAGAATTTAATGTAAATTATAGAAAGAAAAGAATTTGAAAGAAATTAAAACAAAAATAGATATTCCAATTTACAGATAATTGGAACAAAAGGGAGACAGGTTGCAACTAGTTTATTGTTTTAAAGATTGTAAGCTTTGTTTTATAATTTATTAAACCATGCATTTATTTGTGAGATTTTTTTCTATATTTGTTTTATTTTACAATTAAAAGATTATGAAATGTTACAAAACAGCAAACAACACATTGGCAAATATTTACCAAAGAAGAACAGTAGAATGTTATACAAATTGATGAGAAAATTCTAACATTCCAATAAAGAATTATAGAGGAACGTAAGTGATTTGCATATATTTAGAAAGCTAGTAAACATTAAGAATGTTGAGCCTCACTGAAATATGTTTTGAAAAATAGTATTTAAGAAGGAAGGAGGGAGAAATAACTAAATTATGTTGATAAATAAACTTTGAAGGGAATAGAGAGAAGAAACTCCTTATTAAATGTATACATTAAAGTTCTGTAGCTATTGTGAGGGGTAGTAAGGAGATAAGACCATTACTACATGCTCCTCATGCTGACGATGGATTTTTCTGTTACATGATCACAAAACGAATTCAATATATAGTAATTCCTGTGTTTCTGGCCATGTTGAATTAGCCCAGCATTTTATAATTTGGAAAGGTTTTGTGATTAATTACATTAAATACTTTCTTAATATTCAACAGTAAAAGAGCCAGTTTGCCTTGACGTTAGACAAAAACAGCGGATCTCTATTGATGCATTATCACCTGAAATGAAGGCACCAGCCTTTCCAGAACCTGTCCTTCCTGTTCAGCCCAAAACTATGAAAGATTTTCAGTAAGTTTCAACTCAATCTGACTGTGTTTTAATGTGCTTTAATAGTTTTGTGTTGAATTAATTGGATTTGTGCATCGTTATAAGGTATTAGCCAAGAATGATGAAATTGAAGTCTAAATGTCTCATATTGAAGGTAAAAACAAATAAATGTTTAAGGGTCTGGGTTAGATATGTTAAACCAAAAGAAAAGATGCACTAAGTGTGAAAATATGGCTCAAAGCAGGCAAAAAAAAAAAAAAAAATGGTAAATGTGATAAAATGCTAGTATGTTGCTATTAACAAAATGAACTCAACTACTATGTAACATAAGCAGTAAAACATGTCAATTCTCAAAAATGCATAATTTGAAGAACTAAATGGGAATGAGAAAGTAGAGACCAATTGTAAGCAAAATCTCTAGAAGTTTGAGAGGAAAGAGTAAGAATTAGAAGGGGAGTATCCAGAAATATCTTAACCTCATTAAGAATAATAAATTCAAAAACTATCTGGAACAGATTTATATGTTTGGTTTCAGGGTATAAAACTGCAAACTTGGTGAAACTTTATAAAAAGGAATGGTCTTTTATTAGAAAAATATTTATTTGCATATGTATGTATATGGTTAATATATGTTTTTATTTTAGGGAAGATATAGAAAAAGTTAAATCATCAGGAGACTGGAAAACAGTACATGATTTTTATCTAACAACATTTGATTCTTTCCCAGAATTAAATGCTGTATTTAAGGTAATAATACATAAAGCATGTTTTCTATTCACTTTCAGTCACAAATTTTTCAAAAAAGATATGACAGCTTTATATAGTTTTCTACCTAGTATTCACTTTGGAAACTGTGTAAGCAAATATATTTTGATTTACTAAATTACATGTGTGACAGATATTAATTAAATAATGTCTTGCTTTTATTTGTACTAGTGTTAATGTTTCACTCTATGTTTTTAGTTTTTTATAGGTCATTAAAGCAGTTTAATAAATTCCTTTTTATTTTCGGCAATTCTGCACTAACAGTTCTTTTTATTGTTAGACTACTTGATAGTAATTTTCAAGAAATTATTTTTATCAAGTATAACTAAGAATAGCCTTTAAAATGTTATATACATGTAATTTTCAAATTGAATTTTCAGAGAGATGCCACTGCCTCATTTAATACCATTGAAGACTCTGGGGTTAATGCTAAATTTGTGAATGTTGTATATGATGCCTTACTAAATACTGTAAGTATTATTTATAGATACATTCAAGTAGTATAATTTTGTGTTTTCTGTATTTCAAATGCAGCCATGTAAGATAGAAATCACAGTATAGGGGCTGGGGATTTAGTTCAGTGGCATAAGCACCTGCCTTGCAAGCAGGCGGTCATGAGTTCGATCCCCGGTACCGATTAAAAAAAAAAAAAAAAAAGAAATCACAGTGTAACATAATTACATTAGAAATTGATACTATAATTTTATAGTAAGTATAGTTGGAATTATCAAAATTTAAGTCATTTTATTTTTCTAATTAACTGGGAATTAAATAAAAATAGTTTCCATTCAATCTTTGTTTAAACTTATATTTCAGTTACATGGGAAAATGTTATTTAATTGTATTGGAATTGTACTGACTGTGGAGAACAGTGGTTTACAAATCTTGGCATGCATCAATCAGAAGAAATGATTAGTAGAATACAGAATTCATGTAGAATGTAAAATTAAGTAGACTTTGAGTGGTGCCCAGAATGTTCATTTGTAACAGCTTCCTAGAATATGTTAATGTCCTTGATCCAGGAACTACATTTTGAGAACTCCAGAACAAAAGATCAGTTTTTGAAAAATTGACATACCTTCTGTCCATGAAGATGGTGTAGCCCTCCAGTTACCTAGATCTTTTAAAATTTCTTTTAGTAATGATTTGTAGTATACTATACATTTCCTGTTACATTTATTTCTAGATACTTGATCTTTCTTTGACACTCTTATATTAATTTTCTAATTGTGATATATATATATATATATACAGCAATATTCTCATGTATATTATTTTTCTTCATTCAAATAGAACATCAATGAGTTTACCTGGATTTTTTATGTACATAGTCATGTCATTTATGAAAAATGTGAATGTTGTCTTTCTCCATTTTTTATATCTTAAAATGATATTTGTACATATTTGCCTTACTGCATTGACTAAGCTTCTTGTATAATTTTATACTAAAGAAGTAATAACAAACTTCTTTGTCTTGTTCCCAATCTGAGTACTTCCATGTTAAATATATGAAAGGGCACCTAACATCAGAGCAGTTGAAATAACATAGGTGCATCAAATTTAATGAAAAAAAATTTTAAAACTTTATCACGTACTGGCAATATTGTGAACAGTTGGGATTATCAGACCTTAATGAAGTGAATATAATTTGGTCCAAGCAATCTAGAGAATGCTTGGTATTATCTGCTGATGCTAAGCATATACATACACTTTGACACAGTAGTTTCACCTCTAGATATACTTCTCTAACTTCTTTTTAACTTGGAATGATATGAAGGCTCTAGAGACCTGAGAGATGTTAATACTAATATGGAATGCAAATAGACAATAATTAAACCTAAATAAACTTCAAATAGGAAAACCTAGTTATATTTTGAATACTTAATCATATTTTTTAAATAAAATCAGCAAAGTAACTTATAATCACAGAACTTTAACTGTATATCATCAACTTAAAGATCTGAAGAAACACCCAAAACCATAAAAAGTCTTCAGCTTTTCTTAGTAGTTCCCTGCCCTCCATGGTATGAGTTAACAATTCTGAAAATACTTTCTATGCATTGTTGGGCTAAAAAAAAAATTTTTTTTTTTGTGCAGACAGCCATGTTTTTTAGTTTTGGAGAAGAGATACAAGTATAAGCTGCTGCAAAACCAAAAATAATTCTGGTTGTTGAATTGGAATTGGAGGCATTGAAAGGAACTCATGATTTTTAGTAGGTCTAGAGATATGTGTGTATGTATTTCATAGTCCTGTGAACCCCAAGGGTTTGGAGGCCATTAACGCACCAGTAGCACTGTGATCGTAGGGCATCGTGGAGGGGAGCTGCTTGCCTTGCGGCAGACAGGAAGCTTAAAGGAAAGGGTCCAGGGCCCAAAATCCTGCTTCATCCAATTTGACACCACCTCCAGTCTCTTAGTAAAAGCCCCATTTCTGACCAAGCCCCCAATACAGGAGCCTTTTGGGGGATTTTTAGACCTATTTTATAACAAAATCTGTTGAGGTGATTATATGATTTCTTAAATTTATTGTTGTGATGAATTATTTAAATTGATTGGTGAATATTCAGCCAGCTTTGTATACCTAAAATAAGTCTTACTTGATTCTGGTGTACAATTTCTTCAGTTGATTCAATTTGCTAATATTTTGTTGAGTGTTTTACATCTGTGTTCATTAGAGATAATGGTCTTTTAATTTTCATTTCTTGTTCTAGCTGGTATTAAGGTCATGCTGGCCTCACAAAATACATGCTCTCTTTGTTTCTGTTTTCGAGAAAAAGCTGTTAAAAAATTGGTGTCTGTCCCCTACATGGCTGGTAGAATTCAACTATCTGGGCCTAGTGTTTTCTGTTTTAGAAGGTTACCAGTTACTGTTCAGTTAGGCCACTTAAGTATAGGGATGTTAAAATTATCTGTTTTCCCTTTCATGAATTTTAGAACATCATATCTTTCAAGGATACATCTAGATTATTAAACTTGTGAACATAAAATTATCCATAATGTTGTCCTCTATTTTTTAAATACATACATGGTCACAAGTGATGATTTGTTTTTAATTTGAGTGTTAGTAGTTAGTGTCTTCTCTCTTCCTTTCTTCACTAGTTTGGTTAAAATTTATCAATATTATTGAACTCTGAAAAAATACAACTTTTGATTTCGTTGATTTCTCGCTAATATTTCCATAGTTTTTTGTTTGTTTGTTTGTTTGTTGGGGGGGGTTGGGGGTTTTTGGTGGTCCTGGGGATCAAACTCTTGACCTCACACTTGCCAGGCAGGCGCTTACACCACTGACCTAAATTCCTGGCCCCTGCTTTCCTAGTTTTAATTTCATTAATGTCTACTTTAATTTTTATTAAATCTTCTGTTTACTTTGGATTTAATTTTGTCTTTTGTTATAGTTTGCTAAGATAGAGGTTTCAATAATTGATTTGTTTTATTTCTAATATATTCATACAGTGCTATATATTTTCCTCTACGTACTACTTTCACTGTATTCCACAAATTTTAATAAGTTGTATTTTAATTTTTGTTCAAAACTAAACTCAGCCTACCACAACCTACAGTTATGCTTCAAAGATTTTACCAAAATGAATTAAAAACTTATATCCACCCAAAAGCCTATACACAATGTTCGTAGCAACTTTATTCATAGTTGCCAGAAATTGGAAGTAACCAAGATCTCCAGTAGGTAAATGGATCAATAAAATACACCACAGAATACTCAACAGTATAAAGAAATGATCTACCAAGCCGCAAAAAGACACACAGAAACCTTAAATATATATTGCTAACTGAAAGGCTACATACTTCTAACTATGTGAGAGTTTGGAATAATTCCAACTATGTGATAGTTCGGAAAAGGCAGTAAAAACAGAGCCTCAGAAGAAAAGGGGAAAAGGAAGAATGAATAGGTGAATCACAAGGGATTTTTCAGGTAGTGAAAGTACCCTGTATGATACTATAAGGATAATTCCATGACATTATGCATTTCTCAAAACTCACAGAACTCTACATTTGATACATAACAATACATTAGTTAATAGTAACAGTTCATTAATTATAACAAATGTACCACCCTAGTGCACAAATTAATAAGGGAAACTATGTGAAGGATGGGGACAGGTATATATGGAAGCTCTGAACTTTATGCACAGCCTTTCTATAAACCTGACTACTTTTTAAAAGTCTATTACTAATAAAATTAGACAATTAAGATTTAAAACTGTCATAGTAATAACTGAGTCAATCATTATCTTAACTAAATTAACAGCTGACATCAGATGCTTCTTGATGTGATTCACTCAGAAAGATACATCCTTTATGAGTCTTCCTGCCAAAAATATAATTGTGAGAAAGTACAAAAACCCACAAATTAAGAGTTATTCAGCAAAACAAATAACTTTAACTCTTTAAGAATGTCAGTATTATGAAACATAAAAAAATAGATGAGAAACAGGTTTCAATATAGTTGTCTTAAGGGGTAAGGAAGTAAATGAACCACGGAAATGTGGGAGTATCAGTGTCATTGAATGTCCTTTTGAGATTTATAGTCATAAATGGTATGTTCAATCAGCACATTTATTTGATCTTTCTCCTGAAGCCTTCTGTTGGCCAGAAGCAGACACTAAATAAGTGATTAACGGGATAGCATTTGCCTTCTGAGTGAAGAGTCACTGTAAGCAAAGGAAGGGAAAGGAATGAGTAATACATATATATCATAGTAACTAGGATCAGATGAATGTTGACAGATGTTTTGGCATTTGTATTATTTACTTTCCTGTTGCTGTGACACAATACCCAACACCCACAACATAAAAAGGAGAGGTTTAATTTAACTCAGGGTTTCAGAAGGTTTAGTCCATGCTTAGTCAGTTGGCTCCAAAGCAGCAAAGTCATGTGTGGAGAAAAGCTGCTCAACGCAGGTGTCAGGAAACAGAGAGGGAAGAAAATTGCCAAAGACAAAGCTATACCCTTCCAGGTCACTCCCTCAACCAGGGTTCACCTAACAGTATGTCCAGCTATGAATTCCTCAATGGACTAGTGCACTGATGAGTGTAGCACCCGTGTGATCCAGTCACCTTTCAGAAGCCCCACCTCTGAACACATGAGACCTTGGGAGATATTTCAAATCTAAATAATAGCATTCTGCTCTTGGGCCCCCAAAGCTCATGTCTATCTTATCATGCAGAATGCATTTAGTCTATCTCTAAGCATCACCAGTCTTAACAGTTCCATCATTGCTGAAAAGTCTTAAGTCCAAACTAAGGTAAACTCTGTAATAGTGAACCCCTATAAAAATCAAAAAAGAAGTTTAAATATTTGGAATATACAGTGGTATAGCATAAACATTCCAATTCCAAAAGGGAGGAATAGGGGCATAAAAGAGTCTGAATCAGAGACAGACTGAAAACAGGCAGGGTAAAAATTAAATCATGTAGGAACAGAATCATCTTGGCAGAATAGAGGAAGCAACACAAATTGATGGCTGTAAGACAGCCATCAAGGCCAGAATGTGGCCACATCCAGTAGTAGAAACACCAACCACTGGAACACAGCCTGAATGGGATAGCAAACGGGAAAGATAGAAAAAAGAAAGTGAGAATAAAAAGCAAAACCATTCCTGAAACCAAGTGCTGTTCCCATCACAGGTCTAGAGCTGCTGTTATCCACAGCATGGCAGCCTCGAAGTTTCCCCTGCAAGGACTAGGCCATTCTGAACCACACAAAAACAAGGGAAGAAGGTAGGAGGCAGCTGCAGTTGGGGACTCACCCCAGATGCCCTTGTCCACACTGCAAACCCAAGCACATGATTTATCCACCAGGAAATGGCCCAGAATTTGAGATACTAGAGAAGTTGTACCCATTTCATTGACTCTGTTCCTAAAGCAGGTCTGAGCCTTTCTCAGGAGGCCAAGCAGGGGATTGGAGAAGGGTTGAGCTGAACACGAAAGGAAATAAATGCTGATAAACCCAGATGGCAGTGAAGACCGTCAGGAAATTGGAGTGGAGAGAAAAAGCCTCCATTAACTACAGAGATAGAACAAGAAGGGCAAGTTGAAGTGTTCTGTTCTCTAGGTGAAGACAGTGGCATAGTTACTGGCTCGCTGTGGCCAGTTTGGATTGGAATTTTGAGGACTGTTGGCCCGCCCTCCAGACTTGTCTGTGGCAGGCAGGAGAAGCAAATTCAGCAGACTGCTTGAGTCCTCAGACCTAGTAGTCACTCCCAGGTGCAGAAGAGGTTAAGTCCATTTTTAGGAATTATTTACCCACAGCTGACCTACCCATGTGGAACTCGGCATCCCACTATTTGAATGGAGACAGAGTTGTAATCTGAATTTATAATTCAGTCACTAGTTTAAATTCACCACAAGAAGGAGAATTGGACTTTTCTTTCTTTTCGTCTCTTTTTTTTCTTCTTGATGTTTCTTTTTGAAAGAGGAAAGGGCAAGAGATGCAATGAGTATTAGTGATTTTTAGAGTGCACCTGAAACCTCATGAGAATGGCCTTTGTTATTCACATTCCTGTGAACATTCTGGTCTGCTGAACTCCAACCAAATTCACTCATCTAGCTTTGCTTATAAAATTCTAAGGTTTCTCTAGCTTGTGTCTCCAAACTTCCAAACTCATGTCACAAACCAGTTCCAAAGGCTTCTGAACACTGTGATCACTACAACAGCATGATTCAAGAGCATAGTTGAAGAAACCTATTCAATCGTGGCTGCAGTGAAGCAAACACAGAATGGGGAAGCGGAGAGAAGAATATACCCTTCCAAGTTGTTCCCTCACTAACCTGAGCTCTTAGACCACACCCCACCTTCTACAGCACATTTAACTGTTACCTAGTCACCTTTCCAAGCCCCACCTCTGAACACACGAGACCTTTCAGAGCCCATTTCAAATCTGAATCATAATAGAAGCCAGTGATAATTTTTAAGTGAATCCATAATATGTGCTTGTTTTTTGACATTTACTTTTTCATGATACAATTTTTCTGATTATTTGAATTTTCTGGTTAATGCAGTTTTTATTCTGTTATTATAATGCAAAGTATTATTTAGATATATTTTATTTTTATTCTTTCTTGAGGTATTTGGCAGTAAATAAGATTTTTCAGTTATTAAACTTTAAAAGTATTATTTTATACCTTTCCCAAATTATTCTTAGTGAAAAAATATTTATCTGGCCATACTTTTAATTAGACATCAGTTAATGTTTAAATTTAGTCATTGTTTCTAGTGACGTATGTATTTAACTGCTAATTGTAATCACTTTAAGTTGCTGAACATACTGTTGGACTTGGGTTCATGGTTTTACTCTGTCAAACCAGGGAACATGAAATTGTTTTTCAGTTTTGTAAAACTATTTTTAGTCCTCAAAAGACCAAAATGTATGTTTGTGGGGAATGTACATTGCCCATCCCGGGGGACATTCTCATTGTAACTTTGTATCTTTGGTGCTCCCTAGAATTCTCAGATATGTAATGCGTACTGCTATGTCAGTCCTCAGTCCTCAGATTTGATTTTAATTATTGGAATAAACCTGTAAATATATTTAGTGTATAAAAGCCACAAAACAGCTAACCCTGATTATTGTACCTTGTTATTTTCTTTTGCCTACAGCCTCAAGACATTCAAAAAACAGTATTAAAAGGAATCATTAACAGCTTATTACGCGAATGGAAAGGGTAACTCACCAATATTTAACTAATCAATATAGATAATTAACATGTTTCTCATGTTTTTAATATATTATGCATATTTCACTCTCAGGAAATATTTTGGTCGAGTTACAATAATAACATGGACCAGAAAAGGATTATAAACCATTTATAACAAAGCTGTTTAACATTTGTGACTTCTTAGGAAGACTATATGTAGGCATCAGAAGATCTGTGAATCTTTTAAAATTGTCTGTAAAATTTTTTGTTTGCATATCTATATGCTTTATAAATCCAGGACAGGTACTAATCAGTAACCTAAGTGAAATAAACATTAAATTTATCCTTGAACTTATAAATAGCCAAAGATAAATTTTGAGAAAATAAATGACTGGCTTCAGTGAAAAGAAATTCCTATTCTCAGGTGCCAGAGGGCTGAAGAGTTGAGGCCAGACTGGGACTTAGCTGCTTCTTGAGTGTAGTAAGAAAATACCATCACAAGTATTGTAAGAAATCAGGCCCATTCCTGCTATTTGTCACCTGAGCATAATAATTCATGTGGGCATAAATAGCCCTACTAATTTTATGATACACTAGGTGGAATGGGAAAGGACTGAGAGGCAAAGGTGTTAAATAGAAATACATTTTAAGCAGGTGAGAAAGAAAAACAACCTTGGGAATAAAAAAAGAGTCAATAATTTTGTTTTTTTATCAGGGATCTAGGTAGGGTTTTTAAATTGCATTTTTAATTCAGGAAGTTACTTCTAAACTTCTGAAAGTATAAGCAGATAGGATGCTGAATAGGAGGAAAATACTCATCTACTTTATTTGGGAACAATAAAGTTCTAGGTCAGATCTTATAATGTGAAAATCTAAATTAACATGGAGAAAAATTTTAATTTAGCTTTTTAGAGATATCTGAAATGATTCTTTTATGGATCAGCATTCTATTTCTGAGACACAATAACTGACACTTCCAAGTCAGAAGAGAGGTTGATTTTGGTTCCCAGTGGCAGAGGTTTCAGTAGAGTCCCACTAGTTCTAAGGCACAAAGCCCATAGTGGGAGGTTTTGGTAGAGAAAAACTACTCAACCAATGGCAGCTAAGAAACAGGATTTATTGTCCAGGTCACACCTCTATGATCCACCCAGACATACATAAATGTGTGCTTTCCTAATCTCATAGTTATCTGTCAAGCCAATCAAGTTGACAGTAATAGCCTTCGCAATTAACTAAAAACATGCTTAAAAATACGATTTACAGACATTTCTACAAACATCACTTCAGGAATGGACCTACAAATGCAAGCATGTTTCCTTTCTTTAATGTGTAAATAAAAAAGATTGTCTCTTACTAAAAGTGTGTTATGAAACAGTCAATTATTCATTAGACTCTTTAACTGTTTCTAGTGTTGACACTATATTTACTTTACAAAATGGTAGAGCTGTCCTAGTAACTCAGTTGTTCAGAGTCATCATAGCATAGGCACAGATGAATTGGTATTTCCAGTGTTTCAAAGACATGTTATTGTCTTAATGATGTTTATTCATTTTTTTTTTTGCTTTCGTCAGTTCATTTCTTACAAAAACATGTCTTGATATATTAGATATTACGAAATTAAACATCCATCTGTAATGTTTTGTTTCTTTTTTTTAGCCCAAGAACAAAAGATGATCTTAGAGCATATTTTATACTTTTACAGGTAAGAGAACAAAAACTAAGTTTAAGTGGTTTAATCAGATCTCAATTTCTGAATGCATGAAATAACATCAGATATCATGTAGGCAATGTTAGTGATACTTTTTTTTAGAATTACAATTACTTGTAACCAGAGAGCAAACCTTCAGAAGCTAACTTGTACGAGAGATTAAAATTTTAGCTTGCCTAGGTATTCTGGAACAAACAAAATGGGAAGCACTTACCCTTCTCCATTCATAACGCTTTTCCTGTAACTAGTTTTAATGAGCTTTGGGACTTTAGATTTCTAATTTCTTTACATATTTTTTTGGTGATGTTTAAACTAGAATTCTAATAGATAAAAGATGTTTCTATTTGTTATATATGATAAACATTTTCATCTTGAGAAATACAGATTTATATATGTAAAGTCCAGATACATGAAAAGGAATTCTTAATTATTATTTTTTTGACAAAGAAATATGTTATTACCTTAGCTAACACGCTACATTTATAGTATTTTTCACAATTTACAAAATTATTCATGCATATTAAATCATTTAATACATTCATTACGGGGCCATTCTTTATTATGTCTCACTGCTGGGTGGCTCTGATCTGAACATGTTAAAGGTAAGAAACATTTTATTAAATAAAATGTAATATTTAATTCAATATTATAGTATAATGGCATTATTATACATAAAAGTAAATATGAGAAAGAGAACAAAGGAAAAACTGGAAAGGGAAAGAAAGTGGCAAGAAATAGTTAAGAAAGATAGAATGAAGGAAAATGGGTCAGAGTAGAAAGAGGCAAAACTAGAAAAAGAAACAGTAGAGATAGAAAAACTAGAATTACGACAATATGAAGCTCAAAATTTCATGTAGTACATGTATTAGTTAACGTATATTAGTAGTACATATATAATAATGATAAATATTCCTCACAACTATCATTAAATGAAGTTACAGCTGAGATCACTTTAATTTTGAATTGTCTTCCTAATAAATCAGGGGTGTTTTTTTTTTTTTTTTTTTTTTTTTTTGTCTTTTTCCTTTTTCTCGGTACCAGGGATCGAATCACAACTGCCTGCTTACAAGGCAGGTGCTTATGCCGCTGAGCTAAATCCCCAGCCCCTAATAAATCAGTTTTTAAAAATACATGGTACTCTTATTTTTCACAATATTAGTTTTTTTTATAATATTTATTATAAGAAATGTTGAAATATATGTATTGTGATACAGTTTTTGATTTTGGAAATTAGAGGGTTTTGCTTAGCTCCTTCTGTGTTCTTTAACATTTAAAAGTTGTCAGAAGCTATTAAGTGATGCAGCCAATCTGTTTCTCAGTGGCAAAGTTTGAAAACCAGCTTTTATTTAGTTTTGCTAGCATTGTTTTTTAGTCAAGGAAAACCCAGATTTTTTTTGTTTAATGGATATCAGTGATTACCTGCATTTATGAAGGCACTAACTAAGCCAGGTGCTTTACATATACTTTCTTTTTTAATACTCAAGAGAATTATTAAGAGAGATATTAAAACCATTTTACAAATGAAGAAATTGAGAATCAAAGTTTTAGATGCATACTTAAGTGCACAGCTAATGAGAGTAGAATTATCCCTTAGACCCAGACCCCTCTGCTCCATGGCCATGCTCTTTGCAGTGTATTGCAACATAAACCAAAGGCTCTGCTAACTAAATAACAAAGAGATTATTTTTTAAAGTATTTTATAATTTCAAATTTAGTTTTCTGATATATCACTTAATTCATAAGTTTAATATCTTTCTTTTTACATACTAACAAAATTTTAACACGATTATCTTTAATATCTCTTTCAGAATCCTCAATTTAATAACACATCGACATATGTCATCTATGCTCACTTGTTACGACAGATAGCTGCCTTAGTGGAAGCTGACCACCATTTCCTAGTTCACTGGTTGAAAAAGTAAATCATTCTATAATATTAAGAACTTCTGTAGTCTCACAGTTTAAGTTTGATTTTAGTAAATCTATAATAAAATCTATTTTAATGTCTTTAGGTCTTTAGAATTGCTGCTTATAATTCACAAGATTGAAAAGCCAATTATTAAAAATACATTTTAGTAAAACATAAAGGATAATTTAAATTGTGTTTTAAATGTAAGTTATCATTTTGCTTCTGTAAGCCACTAAGAATTTCTATTTACTCTTTCAGTTTTTATGTGGTACATTCCTATCATTTTTTGTATACACTATCTTGAAGATGACTGGATTTGCTGAAACATTACGATTTTGATTTCTTTTTATTTCCTGCCTATATATCAAAAATTTCACTATTATTTACATGATACTTTCATTTTGCCTAAAAATATTACTGTTAATATATTAGCTATTGATACCAAGTTGAAACTGGCAAAATACTTCCGAAATAAATTTTAAATTCAACCAGATCTCGTCATTCACAATAGTTATATTCTGCACATCACCATAAACACTGAATTAACAAATTTTGACTGAGCCATTGCTTCTTGGGAAAATGCGGGCTTAGATTCACGAAGCTTCTGATCACCTTTTTGTCAAATAATCAGCGCATAACTTCACTTTATGAGTATTTTTTCTTAACAATACATATCTGATATAAATAATTCATTTACATTGAACTCTTGGCTAGTAGCGCTGTAACCATGTCTGAATAAAGTTTATCCAGCACATAAATTTTCACCCTAAGGTGCCTCACATCCTTGTTTATGGGAACACTGGATAGACACATTATCACTATTATCTCTACACTTGAGGGTGATTTCAGAAAATTACCAATGAAAAGCGGAAAAATATGAAAAATGTGCCATAAGGCTATGTAAAGAATACTTATTTATAGTATCAGAACTAAAACAAGAAGGCAGAGCATTTCTTTGTTTTACATCAGCTGGGGAAGGTTCATGTCAGCAGACTTAAGAGTGTCACTATTTTTTTTTTTTTTTTTTGCATGTCCACAAATGACCACAAAAGCAGAACTAATTTGGGAGTTGCATTTAAATTTTAGCAAGTAGGCAAATTTGCAAGTATGAAATATGTGAACAATGAAAATTGACTAAATATTGAAAGCCTTAAAAATCGAATTGCTAACCTAATGGCAGTTTTGGTGTTTTATTTCTTATTAAGAAACAGTCTTCAACTAAGATTTTTGTATATTTTCAAGTGTTTTGCAATTTAAGAAGTAGAATTCAAGATAATAGTCTAAAATTTTATGTGTATAAGATGTAGTTTAATAACAAATATATTACTAAAATTAAAAATATGAATTTTTATTGGAATTATTTCAAAATCTTTGCCAGATTATCCCAGAAGCGGTTCAAGCAACTGGTAGAGAGATTGCTGCAGTTTATTTCTTTACGTCTGTTTCCTGCAAAGCCTGAAGAATTTCCACCTATAACAAAATGTTCCTGGTGGATTCCATCAGCATCTAAAGTGTTGGCTCTACTTAGTAGGTTCACATCTTTTCTTTTGTTAAATCTCAGGGACATTTCTTAAGGTTGTCAAAGTACTATAGAGATATTCTTAAATTTTAAATCATTCTTTTGAATGGAAAAAACCACAACAATTTGTAAGTGTAAAAAAGCTGTATGCCTTTTATTGAGCAATATTCTGTATTAAAACTGTTAACTGCGTATGATCTAAGTTGAGATTCCTGAGAAAACAGAAACTTCCATTAATTACTTATAATGCACACTGATGGGGATATATATGAGTAGATGGCCATATCAGTACTCCCTTTAATACTTTTATGATAACTGTCCCATGTTTTTAAAATTAAAAAATGCTTTGCTACATTTTGATCACAGTGTTAAATTTACTCTTTGGGAACTATGTTGTTTAAAAACAAGTTTCTAGGTCAAGGCTAGCCAATCGACATTAAAATGATGGTTTTATTAGAATGAATCAGGAGCATGTTGGAAAAGGTCATTATGTTAGACCTTATCTTTGCAGATACTGCCAACAGTTTGGTTCAGCCTCCTCTTATTCCTTATACTGATTTCTATAATTCTACATTGGATCACATTGACCTTATGGAAGAGTATCATACATGGCAGAGCTTTGGAAACTCTCACAGGTATGATCAAAAGCTCTTTTGGTTGTTCACCCAAATGAAATATTATTCAATGTAATGACTGAATTTTTAAGTTTATATGAAATAAAAACAAGTTTATTTTTAAAAAATACATGTACCCTTACATACCTTTTTGTAGTTTAGATGTCCATCTTTGAAATATCATTGTGCTTGTTAAAGTGTTGTCTTTGCCTGCCATTTTGGATTTACATATGTGTTAATTTGGTTTTGGTTTTGGTTTGGTTAATGCATTTTTCAAAAAGGGAAATATTCTGTCATAGTAGATAGTATGTTTTGTTTTATGTGTTATCTAGCAAAGGGGTCAGCAAAATTTTTTCGACAAAGAAATATTAATATTTTTAGTTCTGTGAACTATACAGATTGTTTTGTTATTTTAGTGCAAAGAAGGCTTAGCTAATGTATAAAGAAATGAGTATGTCTATGTTCTATATAAATTTACACAAAACAGGTAGTAGGCCATATTTGTCCAGAGGTTATAGTTTGCTGGTGCCTAATCCAGTTAATTGATCACACACATGTTCGTATGCACATACACACATTCATTTTTACTCCCTTATTCTGTACTTGTAGTGATATTACATATTGTAGAAAAAGAATATATTATTTAATGTAATACACTTCCAAGTACCTGATGAAAACTCTATACACTGCACTGTAATTTCATAATTCTAGTATAAAGAGCAAGATTATCTAAACATAGTTTATTCCTGGATTCTGAGATCTCCAGAGGACTGGCCTTATTCCAAAGGAGACTAAGATATAGATACAAAAAACATGAATAACCTCAGAACGCCCATTTAGTTCATAAATTGGTTAAACCTTCCAAGGACCCTCTCCATCAGAATTGGCATAATACTTGGAATAGCTTTCCAGATATATCTGCACTTCGAATGTTCCTAACTGAACAAAACATGTTGTGGATTCTTGGTTAGTTTTATGTTTTTATTGGCACATTTTATTTTGCAAAGCTACTTTTCCTCCCATTTTAATATAATTGTATCCAAAAAGTAACTCCAAGAATTGTGCCTATTTTAATGATAACATCTTTTAATATGGAGCCACAGCTTTACACAGGAGTTTTGACAGTATAACCTTATTGACCCTTGGCAGCCAGTCTAAGCCTAGAACAGCATCTGGATTCTTTGAACATGTCATCTTTGACCATAAACAAGCTAATTTGTTTGTGTGAGTATTTCACACACACAGTATTCTTTAATACAAGGGAAAAATTGACAAGCCCAGTTTTAAAGTGCATACTAGAACTAAAATATGTTCCACTAAGTCCATTGCATTTTCTAATGTTTCCTTTTAGCGTTTAGTAAAATCATTATACTGAGAGTATTAATATCTTCTGTTGCTTATTAATAATTTTGTCACTGTCTTATTTCTAGTTCATGCTAAGTCTGTCCCCTTCTTTTTCATAATGTCTTCATTATACCCAGCAATCACAGATGTACCACCTGGCTGTACCCACATTGGATTCCAACTGTAACTGTTGGGTTCACTGCAGTCACTAGTAATGGGAGTTCAACTCCTAAAGTATCATTGCTGCCACACTCATTCTTTGTAATTGCATTTCTATCTGTGTAATGTGTAGCCTTAGTATATAGCACAAGATCAACTCTGACCCAGGAGAGAAGTGATTTTCATAAGCTTTGATCATACCATTAAATATAATATTAATAGCAGCATATTTTCTTTTAATGGCCTTTAAATTATGACTGTTTTAGTTACTGCTGGATTTTTTCATTTGTGATGCTCCTACATCAGAAATAGCCATATAATAATGGGTTCTTATATTAACTTGAGCATATGACTTTTCTCGTTCTAATCCTTGTTCAATTCTGACTTTTGGTTCTGGTATTGGCCAGATTTTTCACAGGCAATGATATATAGGTGACTATATAAACTCAAATTGTTTGTATAAACAATGTAATGATGAGCACACATTTCAGAAAATTACATGTAGCTTCCTTTGGAGAATAAAACCACTATATATTTAGTAATGACACATTCTTAACAGGGTTGTGGAAATTAAGTGATAAACACAAAATTCATTTTGTAAATGGTGAAACACAATACAAAAGTAATTGTTTTATATTGCTAGAAGAGGTACCTTAAATTCCCTTAGGATAATTTTGCTAAAAATACACCATTTTGCTTTTTCTGTTTTCACTTGTTGAGCAGGTTTTCCTTCTGTCAGTACCCATTCGTTATTTCTATAGCTGCAAAAAAAATCATTATTCAGAGAGACTCAGAACAACAGATGATAAGCATCGCAAGGGTAAGCCAGCTATAAAAACATATTTATGCTGACTTTAATCAATATAGTAAATAATTTAATAAGTTAAATGTCTTATGAGTTGTTCTATCATAATCAGTAAATGTTAAAAGTAAGCTCCTATTCTAGTTCCTCCATAAGTGATTAAACTCGTTTGCAATATGGGAACAAAACATCCCTAATCGAATCAATTTATTATTATGCTATAAATACAGCAGAAGACTAAATGTTTCTTGCAGATTTAAATTACTAAGAGTTTGTTGAACCCCACTTTGTAAAGTTCCTGCTTCAGGTAAATGAACAGAACTTTGGTGAAAATTTCAGTGATGCAGGGAGGGAATCCTCAAACCACTGCGTTTTCTAGTTTTGTGAGAAGCAGAAACAGTCAGAACATTACAAAGATATATCAAAAAAGTATGTCCTGGGAAACTGAGGAATCCGCCTAAAGAAGGTGAAAGGTGTTTTATTGTTCTTAGGAAATCAAGGTATGTAGAGGGCCCCAGATACTAGGATGATAGACTGACTTCAGGCATACCGCGGAGCAGGATGAAGTTTACCTCTGGGCCTGCCCTACTGCTCCTTACAGCACAGTGAAGTTACCAACTTTAACCAGATTCAGTGACCTTCTATTTATTAGAGCACTAGACTGCACATTTACATACTCATATATTTCAAACTTTCAACTTGTGCAACATGATTGTTTACAACTGTAAAAATGGAAAAGAAGCTCAGCTGTATTCTTGTTAAAATAGAGAAACCATAAAATTGTTTCCATGTCTCATCTAAGAACATAAACAATCTTAAAACATAAATTCTACTATTTCAAAATATTTTAAAAGTAAAAATTGATCATTCTTCAGGAAGTAACTTCCTGTAAGAGATTTCTATCACAGAAAAGAACAAAAGGTTTCAGTGACTGATGACATCCCAAAGTCAGCTAAGAATTGTATGGGACTATTAGAAGAAATTTTATTGTTTGTGCCCCACAGAGGAATTCTCAGTCACCTCCCCCACCACAGTGAGTTTACATTGTTATATGTACCACCAGAATTGTTTGTTGATTTGGGGTAGATATTGACTGAAACTATTTAGCTAGACATTTGAACATTTTCTATTAGTTGTTTTGTATAATGTCATATACTTGTTTAGTGCTTTTTGACTTTGGGCTATGTTTTATATTGTAAAAAAATGTAAGAGCTAATTTACCTAAATTTCTGTAGTATTTTCTTCACTCATACTTGAGGTATTAAATACCTTTTCATGTAATTTTTTTCTTCTTAAAAAGGAGAATGGCTGATGTTCATTCTTGCACAGGCTGTCTTCCACAGACAGAGCATGGAAGTAAATGAGTAGACACTGAAAGTCAAGTGGCATTACAATCTGTCCTGACAGACGTTTCCAACATTTTAAGTAATAAACTACCATAACACTTGGAATTAATGACCACTGACTATTTTGACATAAGGACAAACGTGCAGGTAGTCAGTACAAGTAAGAATGTATATATGGTACAATCTGAAATTGCAAAAAGGGTTCCCCTTAAAAAGACAGACTATCTAGAATTCTATTGTTGTTATTTCTTTCATTGGAGCATTTTCTAGTAATATGAATTGTTGATGGGAGGAATAGCCCCTGAGCTGGTCTACTGTTAATATCCTTATGTAGATTTCTTTACTGACTGTTTCTATTATGACAGCTTCCTAAGTGCTAAATTAGGAATCGAAGACAGGAAAAAGTAGGAAAAAGTTTCATGACACAGATTGTTGTCTCAGGAATGTAGATCTCTTTTGGTACCTGAGAAGTAAAAAATTATTAAAAGCTTTAGCAGTGAACATTGCACCTATGGAGAGGATTCTGAATTAGTGTTTTATTACAGTAACCTATAAAATCTAACTTTAAATCATGTAGACTTGAAATATTAAAATTTTATCTATTTAAATATGTAAACACCTATTTAAAGTGTCTGAAATGTACAACTTCAACCTGTAGGAAAATTTTCTGTTCTTACCAGGGATGAGGTAGTCTGATAATTTAGATAAGTAAATGTTCAAAAATGTAAATTTTGTATGATAAATAACATTTATATATTCCTTGTATGTTGTTTTTTAATATACACATTACTTATATTTTGTAAAAGCACAAAAAGTAGATTTTTAAAACTTCTCATGTCTCCATTTTAATAATCCCTTTATATTCTTTCCTGTATTATCTTTAAAAGTCAAAAGAAGAATATACATACAATTTAGTTCCCTACAGATTTCAGATATACCTTTCTTGTACTGTTTACAGTTTTTGTAACCCTCATTTATTGATAACCATGTTGTATGCCATTAACTAGATATGTAAATAGGATTCTTGTGAAATTTTGCTTTTATGGATAATACTATGGTAGTGATGGCAAACCTTTTAGACCTCTGAGTGATGACAGCAGCCCTCTGCAGCATGCATGCCACCATTGTATTTACCATTCAACAGTATAAAACATTTCTGTCTTTAAAATTCCCAGAAGTGGAATAATTTAGGACAAAGGGTATGAACAATATCAATGTCTTGATAAATATTGGCAAATTACTTTCTAAAAATAGACTTGTACTTTTAGTGTAAATTCAGTGTCTAAAAAAGCGTAAGTCCAGGCTTATCAAAAGTATATACCTTGTTTTAAAAGTTTTCATTTTATATTTGTATTAAGTAAAAAACTTTACTGCTTAAGAAATGGCACATCTGGCAACTGTAATGCACATTCTTCACTTCAAAATGATTTTTTTTTACCTCATTTGGTTATTATGGAATAATAATTATATACATTTTCACAATTAAATGTATATAATTGATTTCATGAAGTTTTTAAAGACAAGATTATACTGATAATAAGACAGGATTTAAGCGATTTTAACTAAAGTATTTAAATGTTTTAAATGAAATTATAGTGTAAGTAAAAGTGAAAAATGTTTGCTTTCTTTTTTAATTAGCAAAGTCTGGTGGATAAAGTATCTCGAAGACAGAGACCTGATATGAATATGTTATTTCTGAACATGAAAGTAAGGCGGACACATCTGGTTAGCGATTCACTTGATGAGGTATAATTTATTCCAAAATGATATTAATTGATTAAAACTTTCAGATAAATTGTACAATATGATTTATTGCTAAAAATCTCAGCTTTTTAAAAATTTCTGTATGCCAATAAATGTGTTCCTTTAAATTTTAGTATCACAGTTAAAATCACTTCTATGTTATATAATAAGCCATAGATTCACTTTTGTGGTTTGTCATTAGTACTCTGGAAAATGATTTGATGTAGAGTACTTGCATGAGTAATTCATGTTTCTTAGAATGTAACCTGGATTTTACTTTTTTTATTTTTAATGGTACTGGAGATTGGACCTAGGGCCTTATACATGCTAGGCAAGCCCTCTACCACCGAATTATGTCCCCAACCCTTTTTAATTTGGATTCTGGACCCAACTAGCTTCATTATCAGCTAGGTATAAAACAATTTGTTCTGATTTCTACAGACCTCAGATTACTTACCTGTAGAAGTATAAATGTGGCCTACAGGATGTATTGGGCTTCAGTTCTGCACAAACACTGATTGCATGTACAAGTATCATAAAGTTTTCTGTATGTACAAGTGCTTTCGCTAATTGTCATGTAGCTATTAAAGAAAATGATTTAGAAATGTGATTTTTCAGAAATTTGGTGTTGAAGGAATGTTAAAAGGAAATGAGTTATTTTACAGTGTAATCTACTAAACTGAAATTTTAGGGCCAAATGTTATTTGGATACACTAACCTTGAACAAGACATAATTGTTTTTCCTAACCTGAAATGTATATGTACAGTGTGATCAAGAAATATGGTAAATGTTTAAATTTTTTTTTTTAATTTACACATCATCAGTCTCCCTCACAATACTTCTCAACATCTCAAACACACATTGTTCTTGCCACTTTCTGAAGCACTGCAGGAAATTTTTTTTCATGAGTGTGTTTAGTTGCTCTATCATGGCTACCTTGATGTCCTAAATCAATTCAAAACATTTACCTTTCCTGGTCATTTTCACTGTGGGAAAGAGGCAGGAGTCTCACAGTTTCAGATCTTGTGAATAAGGTGGACAAGACAATATTTTAATTTTTTATTCAATGGAAATTGTTGTACCAGTGCAATATGTGACATGAAGTATTGTCATAAATACTTGAGTTGAGGATGAAGCTGCCCATTTCTCAAGCCATTTTCTACATACAACATTTGTTAAGTGCTTTTATAAGCTTTTATTATATTTCAAGTTCACTGTAGTGCTCCTGGGTACTACTTGGTGCAGTCTACCATGGTCAAAAACAGTCAGCACAGGGGCTGGGGATTTAGCTCAGCGGCATAAGCGCCTGCCTTGCAAGCAGGCATTCGTGAGTTCGGTCCCCAGTACCAATAAAAAGGAAAAAGACAAAACAAAAACAAAAGCAATCAGCGTCACTTTAATTTTGGATGTTGATTGACATGCTTTTTTCGCATGAGAATTGCGTGATTTCCATTGAGAACTCTGAATCTTGGTCTCAGGATCATAACCACAGACCCATATTTCACTTCCCATGACATTTCTTAAAAAAAGCTGGAATCTGAAGTGCACAGCCAACTTTAATGAAATTGACAAAATTTAATGTTAGTATGCTGTTCCTGATCTATGATTTATGGCACACTTTAAAACATACCTTCTGTCTTCCATAGCTCATAACTAACTGTACCAAATAAGTTGAAATTTGTCACACACTGTTATTACTAAGGTTCAGATCACTGCGTATGGTGTTAAACATCCCTGCCTTTTTATTAGATGTCATTCAATACCAGCATTCATCAAGTTTCTTGATCGTATTTCAGAATAACACCCATTTCACACAGAATCTAGCAAATTCACTGGATAGATAGATGAATGGGTGGATGGCAGTTTGTGACATTGTAAATAAGATAAAGACTGCTTGACATAGTTTCCAGAGTTAAAAAAATTAATCCTCCTTTTACTGCTCTTCGTTCTTCTTTATTTTGTAATTTCTTCAAATAGTTAACCCGGAAAAGAGCAGATTTGAAAAAGAAGTTGAAAGTTACATTTGTTGGTGAAGCTGGTTTGGATATGGGTGGCTTGACTAAAGAATGGTTCCTCCTTCTAATTCGTCAAATTTTTCATCCAGATTATGGTGAGAATTTAATTTTTGTGAGCATTATTTCTTAATAATTGTTAGTATGTTCAACCTATGCTTTTATAGACTTTTAGCCATATATGTTGAATAATTATAGAGTATTATTTACATTTTTAAAATTGACTAGATTGATGATTCAAATGTTGATAGGACTCCTATACAAACTCTGTCAAGATTGACAGTATGCTTTTGTGAGGAAATATCCGTATTTTTCCTAAATATGCCAAATATATGAAAATTTAATTGTCACTGAAATCAAGAATATTAGAAATTAAAAGCCAAAGTGAGTTTGTTCTACACTAATATGCAAAACTTCTTTCATTAAATAATGAATCACTATTAAGAAACAGCAAATCATGACTTTTTAGAGAAAAAATAAGCCTTTGAAATTTAAACTTACAGCTAGAGATCATATTCATAAGTGAAATAAATCAAACTCCCATATTACAAGCATCATGGAAAGCAGTTTGTAACAAAATTAATGCTAGATTAGTTTGCTTCTGGTAGATAAATATGTACTTTTTTGCTATGTTGATTTTTTAAATCTCTCATGTAAACAAAATTGTGTTTTCTTTTTTCAGGCATGTTTACATATCATAAGGATTCACACTGCCATTGGTTTAGCAGCTTTAAGTGTGATAACTATTCTGAATTCCGATTGGTTGGAATTGTATCCTTTAAACTTTCCACTAGGAGGTGCTAATAGACTAGAGATTTTTAAAAGATTTTATCTGTATTTTAGAAATGTGTTTTTTGTATTTTAGAAATGTGTTCTTTAGAAAAGCATTCTTCTCAAATTCATAGATTTTTGTAATATTTATTTGTAATATCGTATCTTTGTAACATCAGTAGATTTAATTGGAAGAAATGGTTCAATTCTAATTTTAAGAATTTGCTTGAAGGGGGAAAAACAATATCTCAGGGAAAAGGAGGAAAAAGAAAAAGGAAGGGAAAAGAAAAAATAACTAAAATTATATAAACACGTAGGATAGCTAAATGATTGTGCTACAAATTCTATAAGTTCTTGGAACAAAATAGTTAACATTATAGGATTGGAACAATTGTGCATATTATTGTATGGTGCTCTGAGGAACTCTTGAAGATCATTATGTAAAATAACAACCCTAGTTATGCTTCTACCACCTTGTTTTGAATGCCTACATCGTCAGTGTTTTGGGCTCTTTGCTATTGTTATTTATTTGTCTTTTTTGTTTCGTGTTTTTCTAGGAATTTGTTTTGTTTTCCCCTCTAATACAGAAAAGGTAGTATACATGTAGAGACTCATACATGCATAAAACTTCTAAACAGTTTATGAGAATCGATTATATAATGCACAATGAAATGAACAGCTACTTTGAAGAAAAAGAGACACTTATGGTATCCAGTGCTGATTCTGTAGCATCATGCTGTGAAATCCAGCATGATTGTTCTTTGTTCAGAGTGATTTTAGTCTGTTTTGTATTGTTTAATTTCAACATACATGAAGGTATGGATAGCTATTTTGAGGAGAACAAGAGACGTTATGGCAGCCATTGTTGATTTCCCTATTGTATGGTTTTGAAGGCCTAAAATGCCTTCGTATTCTGTTCTGATCAGTTCAATACTATTTTATTTTGTATGAATTCATTGTGTGTAAAGATATGGACAACTAGTTAAAAGAAAACAACAGACAATATGATAGACACTAATGATCTCCTGTTGTCTTGCTTTGAAATCTGTGTGACGTTTTCTTCTGATCTGCTTTGTTCTGTTTTGTTATATTTAGTTTTACCCTTTTAAAAATAAAATTAAAAGATACCATGTTTTATAAGGTAAATTTATTTTAAAAATTGAAATTTAAAACTTTCAAAAAACATTTTTCATTTATAATGAAGTACTTTTATATTTCATTTTTGTGCTTCAGTCATCTAGTTTATTAAATTAAAATTTTGGAACTTAAATCTAATAAACTTGTAAATGCTAAGACATGAAGAAAATGTCCTTTAAAAAGTGAGTAGGTTGAGCTGGTGCCTGCCTGTTAGCTCAGTATTTGGAAGAATGAGGAAGAAGGATCACTGCCTAGGCTCCGTAGTAAGCCCAAGGCCAGCCTGTACTAGACAGCAAGGCCCTGTCTCAGAAAAATAAAAGCAGAAAGCATTATTTTTTAATGTTTTTCACAGTTTTGTAATTCAGGGCTAGGAATGTAACTCAGCAGCACAGTGGCTGCCTGGCAAGTGTGAGACCCTGAGTTCGATTCCCAGTACCAACAACAATAACAAAAAATTTATAAATCAAGATGCCATCCTCTGATGCATAGCAAGTATATTGTAAATGTGGCTAATATGCTCTTGGATAATGACTGAATTAAAAACTAAAATATATTGCAAAAGAAAATCATTAGCAAGTTCATGATTTTATATTTAGCACCACAGTAAAAGTATAATAGCTAAGTAAGGTGATTCCTGCATTGAATGGGAGATTTTAGACAAGGTGCCATTTCTTTAGCTTTTAAAATTATGATAGTTTTATGATAAATTATCATAATTTTATGATAATTGTGGAAGAAAGGAGGGAAGAATAAATAAATGAACAAGCACTATTTAGGTTAACCACCTAAATGAACAGATGACCACCAGTTCAAAGTGGTCTATTCTCATAGTCAAATGACCATGTGGCCTCAAATGCAGTATGTTCTCCTCAAGAGATTTTTAAATCGAACAGTTGCATTTGGTTAACACAGGACTAGAAAAAGGAACACATTATAAGCTGAGAGAATGACAAGAAAGAATAGCGGAACTGTGATGGGCTTGATAATAAGCACACTGGGCGTAAGAATGTAGAATATACTACAAGACCAAGAACTGGAAAGTGTCTTATGCATTTGTTGGGATATGTCCAAAGGATTGTATAGGGAACTTGAAAGACTGGATAAAAGAAAGACTAGCGGGGAGAAAAAACCTACACAATAAGTTAAGTTTAATTTGAAATTATGTCTGTCATATCTCAAAAGTCTAAACTGCTAAATACCACAGCACAGAGGAATGGTTAATTCTTTTTTAAGAGTCCTTTGATTCAGTTACCTATAGTACTTATTTGATGAATGTGTTTCAGCATCATAAAGCCACCAGTTACTGATGTTTCTCATAATAGCATGATCTATTTAAATTTCCTGATACCTACGATCGTCATGTTTTGCATTCTTATATCACAGTTAGAGATGGTGATATTTTGTTTTCTGATACTTATAATAATGTTATATATCTTACTTAGCTACTACACTAACAGTGGTGCTATCTATAAAATCATAAACTTGCTAATGATTTTCTTTTGTAATACATTTTAGTTTTTAATTCAGTCATTACCTAAGAGCGTATTAGCCACATTTACAAACTGTGTATTTCAAATTAACCTCAAAATTAAATATTTTTCATGTGTAATTATGACATGCACACATATACACATACACACAAACCTATTAAAAGAATGATTGATACTCCAAAAGACCACATTCTTATGTAGGAAAAACATGAAATGATAGTAAATTTTGGTCATTTTATTGGTTAGAAGATATATCAAAGGTGAGAACTAAACTTTTAGAAGCAACAGGCATGACTTGTATTTCCAGTTTTAGAATTTCAAGATCAAAGATTTGTTATTCTGGTAGTTTTGAATATAGTAAGACCTTGGAGTTTATAGGAAATATTGTAGTAGAACCTATAATAATTGTTTTGAAGGTTACATGAAGAGCTATAATTTAACAGTTTTCAAAAGTAGAATCACCCATATCTACTGAGAATAGCAGCAGTATATATAGTATAGTTCAGGGTTTTCAAACTCGGCTCTTTTCATTGCATGGCACTGCAGTCCAGTAGAGTAATTGCGCATCCCCATCCCCGCATCAATCTAAGCAGATTGATTTAGAGTGAAATAAAATGTTACACTTCTGCCTTTGAAGGCCCTGGAGCAAAGTCTATCATTCTGCTTCCTTACTGTGAAAAATTTGCCTTTAGAATTATAGTATTTAAAAACTTTCAAATGAGACATGCTTAAAAATCATCATCATAGTAAATGATAGTAAGTAACTATTGGTTACCATTGGTAGCATTTTGAGTATTATATGAGTATATCAGAACACATTTCAGTGTCTGTCCTGTTGAATTTGCTGGCCAGTCTTTGTCTATATAGTGACTTATAAACTGGTGTAGCTGCTCCTTACATTGTTATCAGCCTTTATTCCACCTTACTTAGCAGATTGAAATATCATCAGGTCTTCCACTGTTTTTCAATTGTTTTCCATTTTGGTCAGCCCATATGTTTAGATTTTCCTTGAGGTCTATAAAATGCATTTACTTTTTAGAATACTTTATATAATAGGCAGTTGAATATTATGAAATTTAATCTATAACTCCTTTCAGCAAGTGCATGTTAAATTCATCCATACACTTAATAAATAAAATACAAATAGAGAAAGTTCATAACACCAATAGCATTTCTTTATTTTGACACTTAGCTAACCCAAATGGTGAAAGCCTTTAAAGTTTCACTGTAGACTACTTTCCCAATTAGCTTATCAATAGTGCCTATATATCTTACACTTATCCTGCACAGCTTTTTTCTTCACACAATCTGTATTTAATTTTAAAATAGTTACAATGGCTGTTTCTAAAATAAGTAGTATATTCTGGAGTGAATCTTGAATAAATTTTTGCTACTGCTTATGAAACTGCCAAAATCTTTGTTTAAATTTAGAAAAAAATTATATATTAAAGTAAGTTATGGAAATTTATGAAGTTACCTTTTGTGACCTTAAATAAGTTTTTTAGGGAAATGATTAAATTCTGTCAACTGGGCACCTCAATTTTATATGACTTTTGGCAATCAAAAAATTATATTACACAAAATAAAGGAAAAATAAATGAAAGAAAAGATTTGTAGGAGTAATTAAAAAGTAGATGTATGCAAGAAGTAAGACTGATGCATAATTCAAAACCCATTTGTTGTCATGGATTTTATGTTAATGCTTAACATTTAGTATGCATAGCTTATGGGACTAGCTGTTTATAACAGCATCACCTTGGATATCCGTTTCCCTCCCTGCTGTTACAAGAAATTGTTGAGCCCTCCCATTGTGCCCGGTGATCAAAATATACCAGTAGGCATCTGCAGTGTTACCATTGATGACTTATGTCAAATTATGCCTGTAAGTATAAGTTAAATCATTCTCTTTTCTACTTAAACACTCTTTCTTCTAATGCTATTCTTAAGTACAGTTCCCATTCTGTTTTTAGAACTCAACTGCTTTTTCACCAAACTTTCCCCTTATAGAGACACATCATACACTTTAAAGTGCAGCTAATCTCTTACAGAATAGTAGAACACATCTTGAAGTCAGAAAGGCAGAGATTTTAATCCAGGCTCTGCCATTTATTAGCTTTGTGAACATTGATTATTTAACTTTTCTGAGTTCTTTTCTTATGAAAAATAGAATAGTTTTTATTAAAAATTCTAAAAAAATGATGGCAACCATCAGATCCATGCCAATCTAGATGTGTATAATTTGTCGTTTAAGAGAAATGGACATACCTAAGGTCATTCTAACGATGCAGATTTTACTCATCTTTCTTAATGATTTAAAATAAAACTATTTTCATGAAATGTGAAAAATTTGTGGAAATATTGAGTCATTTTTTAAATTCTTTATTCATGGATAACCTGAATTATAAAAAGATATGAGAAAATACTTCCTCCATTGTTCTCAACATTTTCTTGGAAGAGAAAGACAGTAACATAAATGTGTGCACTATTTAACACATGTGAACTGTATCTTTTATGCTTAAAAGATGAATCAAGAAAGTTTTGTAGGTAAATAGGTTGAAAGAAACACTACAAATTCATAAACAGTAATACAGCAGATAGCATTAAACTATGCTGGAAACCACATACGAGATGTACTTGTTTGCTAAGAATAGATCTAGAGTTATACCTCTGTGGTTTGAACCAGTTTCCTCTTACATAATCTATAATTTACTTTTCCAAACCTTTGGATGGTAGAAGCCATTAATAAGAATTATGTGTCTTAGGGCCAGGGATTTAGCACAGCGGCATAAGTGCCTGCCTAGCAAGCATAAGGTCATGAGTTGGATCTCTGGTACCAAAAAAATAAAAATAAAATAAAAAGAATTATGGTTTTAGAAAATACATCTCAAGTATTATTTGAAATCTGAAAGTTTACTCATCTCACATGTAAATGATCTTTAGTAGGTCTACTTATTTGAGGTATTCTAGTTGATTTAAAAATATAGCTAACATTTCTTTTTATAGGAATTGGCCCATGGATTAAGTGAACTCTTATCATATGAAGGCAATGTTGAAGAAGATTTCTATTCAACATTTCAGGTACTAAGGGACTATAACTGTTAGCTATATTATCTATATATTAAAAATGCTGTTAATACTGTTAGAAAATATTACAAGCATTGGTCAATACCTACAGTCACTTTCTTACAGGCTCTTTTAACCTGGTAATGTAGAGACAGAAAAGCAGACACATGTAGATGAACAGTCAGTGGAAATGCATAGTGTTGAGTGCTAGGTAATTGCATATTCCGTTGATGTGGTTGCTTTCTCTGAAATTTTTGTCTTCCAAAAATAAGCCTGTCCCCTAGTTTCAACACAAGAAGTTAGGAGTAAAAACTAACAGATCAAACATTTATTCCTTTGCTCTTTAAAATAGTTGGGAGATGGAAAATACAGTGATAGATGAAGCTCCGAAGACCTGAGTGTCAGCTAGGTGGCCACATAAATTTTGTGGGCATCATTAGAGTATTTAGCTGTATTTTATAGATAGATATAAGGCCCTATATATTTGCCCTAAAGTGACATTATATTCTTAGTATAAATGTTATAAAACGTAGCCTTTCTGTAGTTACGTTTTTAAAAGGAAGGGGAAAACCCTGTCTTTTAAAATTCTATAAAATTCTGTGAAGCCTGATATTATATCAGTAATACCAGTGAACATGCTGTTATGGTGTCTCTTATCAGGTTTTTCAAGAAGAATTTGGGATAATTAAGTCTTACAATTTAAAACCAGGAGGTGATAAAATTCCTGTTACCAATCAAAATAGGAAAGGTAAGTTAGACACCATTTTTCAATTAAAATACTAGTGTTTACCATTTGCTTTTGTTGTATAACATATATAAAATTGCTTTCCAGAATATGTGCAGTTGTATACTGATTTTCTTCTCAACAAATCCATCTATAAGCAGTTTGCTGCATTTTATTATGGCTTCCACAGTGTATGTGCTTCAAATGCCCTAATGGTGAGTTTAAAACTTTAAATATTCAATTAAATTTTATAATACTATTCACTGACAAATGCTTCTTATTTAGTAGATAAGCTTTTAAAATTTGAAAATGCTTTCTTTTTTTAAAAAATAGACCTAGAAATGAAAATGTTCTCCCGCTCCAGGTTTAATTCCCTGGAGGTTTTTTTAAAAATTACTTTTCTGCTTCACTTTTTTACTATGTTACTCTGTGTGCTTAGGGGCTTTAAAAACCTTTCCCAAGTAGGGTTAATGAAGACATGGTGGACCTCAGATCCTACTACTGAGAGACAAAGCCCCGAACAGGCTAAGTGCAGCTCCAGAGCCAAAGCCACGGCTTCCTACCTGAGGAGCAGATGTGTAAGGGCTGCTGCCTCCTCGAAGGCCCCTCAGCAATGCCGGGTCCCGCTGAGCAGTGGGAAGCAGTTTATCTCCATGGCCATGGTGAACTCGGGTTGTTGGAGTTGTCTTAGCCATATCAATACAGGTTAAAGTGTCACGTCAGAAATAGTGCACACTTCATCATGCTGCTTATGTTTTCCCTCGGTTTTGTCTTGCACTCAAGACAGTGTAGGCCTTTCATTTGAAATATTTTCCATAGGTGACAGAAATAAACTATGCAAATTTCTTTGGGGCAGGAGCATGTAGCTTTCATTCTTCCCACTTTGGGAGTAAGCTTTTGTAACATGTTCCTTGTTGAAAGTATCTTCATCAAAAGAAGTAATTCTTCCAGTAAGCTCTAATTGAGTGGGATTTTTTGTTATTGCTTTGTCTTGTTTTGTTTTTTGAGACAGGGTTTCACTATGAAGTTCAAGCTGGCTTTGACTCACTTTGTAGCCCAGGCTGGCCTCAAACTTGCAGTGATCTTCCTGCCTCGGCCTCCCAAGTGCTGGGATTAGAATCATGCACCAACACATCCAGCTCTAACTGAGTTTTAATTATGACACAGTCATAATTGTGGGAATGAAGATAGGAGGAATAAGAATTAAATGCAATAGCATGACCTCTGTTTTTTAAAACTTTAATCTCTGAGAGATTGACTCACCTAAAGGGTGAAAAACCAAGTGAGCAACACAGGGTAGACTTAAGTATCCAAACTCTGCAGTGCACGTAGAAGGCACTGCAGTGCACAGCAGTCGTGGGCAAGCAAATGAGTGTGTGTTGGAGCTTCGTGCTGCTTTTGCAGATGGGTAATCTGAATTCATGATAAGTTATTTACATGTCTGACAACTGCTAAGTATAGTTTTATGAGACATTAGACATTAGAAGCAAAAAATGTCTTGCTTTAGTAGGAGTAAAAGATTTTTCTTCAAAAATGGTTTGATTGTAAGAAAAGTAATGAATTTTTTTATTTACATGACTACAAATAGTTCCAATTTAATTTAAAAATATCACTTTAATTATGATTTTTGAATCACTGCTGACAGCTGCTTCGTCCAGAGGAGGTGGAAATTCTAGTGTGTGGAAGCCCTGAACTGGATATGCATGCCCTGCAGAGGAGCACTCAGTATGATGGCTACGCGAAGACAGACCTGACTATAAGGCGAGCACCTCTGTGGGGTGGAATTGGAGAAGAAAAAACAAAACAGATGTGATTTTCTTACTTACATGATTTACAGTTTTTTAATCAGTTGAGTTAGCTGAAATATTGTAGGGTCTCTCACTGTCATATTTCAGCTCTAGAATGTGAAAATGTTAAATATGAAATCACCTAGCATTCCCCTTGGGAAAAATCATACAAATAACTATCTACAAAAGTACATAGTTTACATGTACATACATACCTAGTTTACTAAAATTTATATACATAGTTTACTACTTTAGTAAAATAAAGAAAAAACTTGAGAGCTAGGGATATAGCTCAGTGATAGAGTGCTTACCCTATATGAGCAACCCCCAAAACTGTAAAAGTAAATAATAAAAATAACTAGTTCTAGAATTTCAGGGATGCTATACTTAAAAATACCACTTTAATAGCCCTACATTAAAAAATAGACTTGCAAATTATAATTAGAACAAAAATAGGTTCTATAACATCTACTGTTAGATTACTTATGTAATTTTATAAAATTGTTATTTTATAATATTAGTCAACAATTAAATTCATATAAGGAAATTCTTAAATTTTACATTGAGGATGTATCTTGAAGGGAAGTGTTTTTCTTAGAGCTTATTTTACATGAATTTATTGTAAGCAGCAAGATTTTTGTGAAGACATAATTAAATAAATTTCCTTTGGTATTCTACAGATATTTTTGGGATGTTGTGCTTGGATTTCCTCTTGATCTTCAAAAGAAGTTGCTACATTTTACTACAGGAAGTGACAGAGTACCTGTAGGAGGGATGGCTGATTTGAACTTTAAAATCTCAAAAAATGAAACTTCCACTAACTGGTAAATTTCTGAATTGTAATTTTATATTTAATCTATTTGTTGTTCTAGCAGTAATAATACAGTTGGAATTCAGGGATTTGTTAGCAATGAAGTTATTTTCATAGAAAAATCTTCAGAGTAAATATGGGCTTCCCATTAGAGAGACTTTGGCTGAAAGTTATCTTTTAGTTAATAATTGCTTTGTAGTATCTCTTAAAACCTAGCCTACAGGGGCTGGGGATTTAGTTCAATAGCCTAAGCGCCTACCTTGCAAGCAGGCAAGGTACCGATAAAAAGGAAAAAGACAAAAAAAAAAGTAAAAACCTAGCCTACTTTGTACTATTATGTCATCTAACCCTCATTTTTATTTAAATATTTTTATTTTCAGGAAAAATAGTAAATTAAGGTATATTTGGGTGGAGGTATTATGCTTAGTACTAGATCTCTTTATTTTTGTTAACTTTTTAAAGTACCATGCTTTTCACATATGAAGAGATGGTGACTTTAAATTGTCTTGTAGTGTTAGTAGGTTTATGTCCTTCTTACAAACAGCTCACAATTCCCACAGCTAGTTTGAGTAGATATAACTTGGCTTATAATTATTTTTTCCTCTTCCATATATTGAGCATTTCGAGTCTTAACTGTTCTCTCATTTTTAAGTTAGAATCTGTTCTTTGCTTTCCCTGTTGTCACCACCCTGATGTAATTAACTTTTTGCTTCAGTCCTAGCTTATTTAAATAGTCACCTTCCTCAAGATCAAGGTCTGCCCATTCTGGTTGTGTTAGCTGTTAATTTGCTTTATGCTGATTTGATCATATTTCTCTAGGCAGTAAGTTGTGCTTCTCCCCATTAGCTTACGTTCCGAAATCTAGAACTTAACCAAATAAAGCTCTCCAGCCTTCTGTCCAAACCACCTATCAGTTTTGTTTCCATACTGTGGTCTACAGGCTGTTTTACCAATTCTTTGACAAATTTCAAGCTTCACTTCCTCTTTTCCTTTAAATTGTTCCCTTTACATAAGATACGTATCTTTCACCTGTCCTAAGACCTAGTTTAATGTTGACTTGCTGTATAAAGCCAAAAATAATCATTCCTTTAGTGAATTCTTTAAATATAAAATGATATGCTGCTCACCATATTGCATCTTGTATCTTAGTTAGTTGTCGAAGGCTTATATCTTCATATTCTCTATGTGGCCACACAAATAGTAAATATTTCATGACTTAATATTTAAACCAATAGCAAGATTATATTTTAAAATATAAAACATGTATTTATATATATAATTTAGAAGTTTCTAATAAAAACTTATAATTGAAGACTTGAAAAAAACATTCATGTAAACTTTTTCAGTTATTATTACCATACCAGTGATCCTTTTACGAGCTAGCATGACTTAATCATGAATCTAGAACAAACTCTAGATTGCCCACAGGAACTTCACACAGATTAAATGTAGCCAGCTATCAAAGACACATAGCATTTCAGTGTGATACAGGAAAGAAGTATCTTTAAAAAGGAGTACCTTACAAGACATATTCCAAAGAACGCATTCCAGCTGAAAGGGGTGTTTCAGTTCCTCCTAGAAGGCTCACCACTGAAAATCCACTGCTCTCTGTTAAGTAAGAATGGTAAATCTTTACATATTGAAAACACCAGTTTTGAAACTGTGCTGATGCGGGTTTGAGTCTCGGGTCTATCCTTTACCGTTTCTGTATCTCTGAACAGATGGACTGCATGACCTGTGTTGCCTGTTTACTTCCATGTCTGCTTTTTGTGACCAAAGAGAGAGACAAAGAGAAAGAGAATAGCAACTATTTTAGTTGCTTTGAAATGAAACAGCAGATGTAAAAGCATTTACACAGTGATATACTGATCACTTATTTCTGTTTTGTAAATGTTAAGTATTTCTAATAATTATAAATCTTACAGTAGAAGGGGCTCTCCAAATTTAGTTTTTAATTATATGAACTTATTTTTAAATGTTCTCTTTTTTTTTTTTTTTGCCTGGCATGGTGGCACACTCCTGTAATCCCAGCACTTGGGAGGCTGAGGCAGGAGGATCATTGCAAGTTTGAGACCAGCCTGGACTACAAAGTGAGCCCAAGGCAAGCCTGCACCGCATATCAAGACTCTATCTCAAAAAGACAAAAAAAAAAAATTCTCTTTTTTCTTTGGTGTAGTCCTCATTTTTATTCATTGACTCTCTGACAGTTATTTTGGTTCTGTCGTGTTTGTAAAAGGTAGAAGAAAGGTTCTTAAGATGTCTTAACAAATCCTAAATGACAGTGCCATCAGATAAAGGGCTGAGGCAGATGATGAAAAGGATTCAGAGCTGAGTGTTGCTTATACAACAAGGGCAACAACATCAAAAGTGTGGCTTGTACTTTCTGTAAGTGGCCTGAAGTGACCTGTGAAGATGATTTGCTACTCTCTTGACTATGAAAACCCCATAAAATCATGCAAATCAAGAGGCTCAAATCTTCATGTTCACTTTAAGAACACTCATGAAACTGCTCAGGACAGCAAGGGTATGCCATCCGAAAGGCCACCAGGTACCTGAAGGAAGTCACATTACAGGAGCAGTGTGTGCCATTCTGGCGTCGCAGTGGTGGAGTTGGGAGGTGTGCCTCGGCCAAACAGTGGGCTAGACCCAGGGTTGGTGGACTAAAAAGTGTGCTGAATTTTTGCTGCATGTGCTTAAAACTGCAGAGAGTAATGCTGAACTTACAAGTTTAGATGTTGATTCTCTGATCACTGAACATATCTTGGTAAACAGGCACCCAAGATGCACTGCCACCATACTTACAGAGCAAATGGCCAAACATGAGCTCCCCCTGGCACAGTGAGATGATCCTTACTGAAAAGGAACAAATTGTCCCTAAACTAGAGGAGGAAATTACACAGAAGAAAAAGATATCCCAGAAAAAACTGAAGAAACAAAAACTTATGGCATGGGAGTAAACTAAGCAAAAATAAATGTAAATAAAAGTAAAAAAAAAAAATGTGCGACCATCTGGAGTCCCCAAAATGCTCCTTTTATAACTACTTGACAATTAAGACTGGAATATAATGTTATGTACTACTTTGCTAAGCATTTTGTGTAAATAGCACTTTAATTCTGTCAAACAGCCTAATGGGTTGATTTATTATTTGGATGAAGAAGCTGAGCCTGGGAGACAGGAGGCGATTAAAGTTCCATAACTAGTAAGTGGGGGAAATTCGGATCTGACTCCAAAACAGATGTTTTCAAATGAAAGGTTCATAAGAGCAGGGACTTTGATTGTCTGTCAGTACACATAGCCTTAGTGTCTAAATGCTCCCTGATGTGTAGGTACTCAGTAAATTCATGTTCAGGACAGGAGTGATCGAGTCATCTTAGCATAGTAAAATTGATTTGAACTTGCCTGTTATTTTTAAAAGTTGTTTAGAAGTTATGTTGTATGCATTCTAAGACTTAATGTATTTTTAAAAATTATTTTCCCTAGGTTACCTGTGGCCCATACCTGCTTCAATCAACTTTGCCTTCCTCCTTACAAAAGCAAAAAAGATCTGAAACAGAAATTGATCATTGGAATTTCAAATTCAGAAGGTTTTGGACTTGAGTAACCTAGAAGACTTGAAATATAATATTTATATGTAGCATTCACTTCCCTCTTATTGTGCCTTTAACCTTTTCATGTTTCTGTCTAAACACTTTGAAAACACTCACTAACTTTAAAATACTGAGTTTTTTTTTTAAAAATCAAATATGAAGTATGTTTAGTGAAGGCATGATTTTCTAAAAACAGAAATTTCTTGAGTGAGGAAAAGAAAAGTATAGTAGATGCAGGTGTGGGTCTCGTTGCTTTTTTATACCACTTGATCGTTTTGTGTAAGTAGTTTGTCACAGGTGATCCACTGGGAAGCAAAGTGAGGAATGCATTTCTGACGTAGTGGAACCCAGTGGCAGATTGTGTGCTGGAAGCACACGGTAGCAAAGCAAATAGCTACATTATCTTACTAGAAGGCATGTAGCCATATTTTTCATATAGAGGTAAACAGTATAATTGCAAATGCAATGTACAGGGTTTTTTGATATACTGGCTTTGGGTCTTATCAGATTCTTTTCAAGTATTGCTAAAAAGCATGTAAATAATTACATAATAGCCTGAGAATAATGGGATTTTGATAGTGCCATTTATTGCAAAGATTTATTTTTACAAAGTAAATTCAGGATTTTAGACGTGTATACAGCTTTTACAAATCAATAAAGATGACTGTACAAGAGTATTTTCAGACTAACTGGATTCAAGGTTATATTCTTTTAAGTATTGTTAGTCTGCATGCACACTGGCAGTAAACTACTTACTTGAGTACTCTATAATATTTGTATAATCATTTCTTCTTAAGGATTAAGATATTAGAAAAATCAGCTCTAACTAATTATTGATAAATTAGGTCAGTTATAAGCACAAAAGAAAAGAGCTGCTTTTATATGTATTTTGATTGATGTACAAAACTTGTATCTATACTTTTCAATCACCAGTTGTACTGAAACACTGATTTTGGAAAAGGAAAAATAAAATATTTGAGAAAAGTAAATACAATAATGTGTCAAAATAATGTAGCTTGGTATAAAAATAAAGTTCAGTTTTGACAAAATGTTTGTTATTCACTGGATTATGAACATAGTAAATTCAAAAGTACCCATTTTTGTTTGTTTCTAATAAAGTAGCATGTAAAAAGAAACTGCATTTTAAGTCAGAGTAAATGGTATTTTTTAATTTATAGCAAATGAAGCAGTTTTATTAGCATGTTACAAATATTACCAAATCAAGACTTCTTATTCTTTGATAGCTTTCCTTCAGACATTTCTGAAGTTATATTTGCAATAATAATAAAACCAGCATTTAGTACCAGCATATGATTCATATGCAAAAAATAAATATTTTCCCAAAACTTCTTCCTTCCAAGTTAGACTATTTCCTTGTTATGATGCTTCCTTTACTCAACCAGCAGAATCTTTAAGGGTGAAGGAACTGATCAGCTTGTTTTATTGTAGTTTTGAAGCCAGCCCACAAATCTTTGAGGAAAAGGAGTTACTTCATTTACTTTTGTCTTCCAGACAGAGGTGACTCTGCTTTTTCATTTGAGTATATTATTTAAAGGTTATTTCTTTAAAGTTTTGGAAAGCCTACAAGAGTTAAAGGCGTATTGGTTTTGTTTTATTCTGATTTTTAATGTATATGCAAATAAAACTGCTTCTCTCTTGTACTGGTTGAACTAGAAAGTAAGATATTTAATGTAGGTTACTAGTAATAAGCACAAAAGAATCATGTATAAGAAACCAGATGTAAGTGTTAAGTAAAATGTAAAGTTTTTATTGGTAGCGATGACTTATGGAAAAACTGTGTTGGCTTGATCTGCATGTTTAATGATGTGCTTGCATATCTTTTAAGTAAGAAGTACACAAACGAGCCAAATTTTAAATGACAAAGTCCATCAATAACTGGAGAATCTTTGTTGTCTGTTGTTATTTAGTTGAAATTTATAATCATTTATCACTAAATTGTACATTACTTTTATTTATTCTCTGTTTTGTTTACAGTGTAATAATACCTCATTTTAAAAGTAAAAGCCACTACTGTTACATTTTGTTAAACAGCTAAAAAAAATCATGTAGTTACTTTTTTATAAACTGTTAATTCATGATTTTTGTATCTGCCACAGTAAATTAAAGCATTGCCTAGTATTTATCATTATTTATAAAATGTCTCATCCTTTTTAAATCTTTCCTTAATCACATTTTTTGTGTGTGATCAGAAGTTTTTAAATCTCCCTTTTTTTGTGCAAATCTATATTAAGTTAATTTCTGGATGAAGTTTTCTAAATAGGTTTTCTAACTAGGCAGTTAATTGAAACTACAGGTTTAAAATATGAAATGCAAACTATTTTAAGCACTGTTCTATAAACTAGTGGTTAGGAAAATTGCTAATACATATAGCTTCAAAAGATGCATTTTTATGCTAAGCATAAGCAGTATTTTTAGTAAAAACAGTGTCCATCCAGTGTCTGGATGTCCACACAGACATCCCACCAAGTGATTGTGTAATGCCAGTGACATGCACCCAGAAGTGAATCAAGTACAATACGGGCTACAGATAGACAACTTCTTATCTTAGCTATTCCTCCTCAGAACCATCCCTTTCACCTTTCTCTCTGACTTTTCAACCTTAAGGAAGAGAAAGAGGAGATAGTAAGAATGTAGAACAGCATGTTTTGGTGGATCAATATGAAGATAAAACATTAACTTTAAATAACTCAGAAACTGTTTCTTTAGTCGAGTTATTAACCCTTTGTTAAGTTAGGAGCCTCAGTTGAACCCCAGGTCTGCCAGTGACTGTGTAATTGTGGCTAGATAGAAAAAAAGACCAGGGTGAGTTTTTTCAAGAGAAGTCATAAGATCAGTTCACATAACTGACACATGTCTTTTACTGCAGGAAAGCTCCTTAACCCATGGCATCCTGGAAGCAGAAAAAACAGGAGGCATCAGAGAAAGAAGGGGCCAGAACCAGGACACTCCCTCCCACGCCATGCCCAGGAGAGGCCCACTCCCTTCAAGCAGACCCTGCCTCCAGACAGCACAGTTAGCCACAGAGTCATCAGTGGATCAGCCCACTGTTGAGTATAGTACCCCGAGTCCCACAAATTAAAGAACACAAAGTGCTTTAGAGGAATTAAGGTTATGTCAAGAGAAGTATTTTACTCTACAAATTGGTCTTTAGAATTTATCTTTATTAATGTTTCACTAGGCAGGGTTTTCAGTTCTATCATAAATATGTAGCAAGGTATTTTAAAATTCAAACCAAGTTTATTTTAATGCAATATTTTAGGAATAGAATTTTTAGAGCTTAACCTAATGAAACCCCATGTCTCCACATTCAGATCTAACAAATGTTAACATTTACCAGATTTTTCTAGAACAAATGGTTACAGGAAGAATGAAAGATGCCCCCTGCATTTAGTATCCTTATTCATTTCCTGTATCCTCCATTAACCTGTAGTTTGTGTGAATCTTCCATGCAGTCTTTGCATGTATTTGTAAATACTGTTATAGTTGCGTACATAATATTCATATCTTTGTATAACTTTTCACTCAACATTATCTTTTCTAGACTTATCCCTAATGATATATACATACATGAATATATTTATTTATAAATATTTCATTCATTTTGCTTGGATGGCATCTTATTAAACGAATGTACCAATCTGTTGCCCCATCCGCCTGTGCTTCATTTAAGTGCTGCTCAGCGTGACGCGAGCCCTGAGGCATACACTGAGCATGTGCGCAGGAGTCTCTGCAGACTGTGGTCCAGAAGCGTAATTGCTTAGCACTTGCTCTCCAGTGTGCTCATTCCAACAGTATTTTCCACTAGCATAAGAGCTGTCATTTCCTCACATTCTCCTTAACACTTGGTGTTAGCAGATTTTTTTTTTTTTTTGCTTATCTGACAGGTGTATTTAAATTTGCATTTCCATAATTGTTAGAGTATTGTTTTATGTTTTATATATTGCAGGCCACTCAGATTTCTTCTATGAATGACCAGTTCAATGTTCTTTGCCTGTTGTTTCATTACCTTTTAGGTGTTATTTCTTTATTCTGAATATTATGTGCTTATTTTCAAAATTAGGGATTATGTTCCTTCAGTTTTGATACAGATTGGCCAGTGAGTAAGTGACTTTGAAATAGATGATAGTTAGCTAGACTAGATAGATAATGATAGTTAATAGATGATTGAGAAGTAATTGATAAATATTCACAAATTCATATATATGAAGAGCTTATATTTATGCTTGTCCCATAATAAATGTTCTGTAAGGGCTTAGTATTATAATGTATACTATTGCTCATGCACTGAGCAAATCTTGAGTTTGTGCCTCCTCTACTTACAAGTGTTGTGCTGCCTTACTTTAACTATTTGTTACTAGCAATCCTATTCTTTTCATTTTCTTGACTTGTAAACACTGGTGTCATTTTGACTTTTCCTTCTCTTTGACCTCTAGATCAACAAGCTGCATCTTTACGTTGTCTCTCACGGGAGGACATAGTCAGATTGCTTTTTTTTTCTTGGTATCAAAGATCGAACTCATGACCTCGCACTTGCCAGGCAGGCACTTACGCCACTGAGCTAAATCTCTGGCCCTCTACTCCATTGCTATAACCTCTTCCTTGGCTTAGACACTTCATAACCAAATGATTAGATAGGCTTTTCTGTTTATTCTAAAGTCCCTTTAAAACATTGTATTTTTATCAGCTGCTTCTGTATCAGGAATCTAACATGTATCTAGTGTTTCTTTGACTGCTTTTTAGATGAGCTCTGCTCTTACTCTTATTTAGTTTCTCAGTCCCAGCTTTTGAAAGGATAGGTCCTTTGTCTTTCTGAATGCAACCTAGGAAGTCCTATTCCTAATGCCTTCTGAGGTACTCTTTACCAACCAGTGCCTGCCTGCCCATCTTCACATGGCTATGTTCTTTCTTTGCTTTCTGTAGTCTCCCAAGAATTCTCTGCCCCTCTTAAACCTTACCCTGGACTATCACTATTCCTCAGACAAAAACATCTGGGTACAAGGCAATTAAACCTCTTTTTCAAAACCACACAAATCTTCATTTCTAAGATGGCACTAGTATTTTCAAGTGTGTGTTACATGTGCACTTAATCAGTGGCTCAAGACCAGATATATTTCTTGTACGGAGTCAAAAAAACTCAGATAAAAACCAGTTGGCTTGTTGAATTGCCTGTGCAGGTGAAACACTCCCCAAAGCAGTACAGTGAACCACAGATCTGTGTGGGTAAGTAGTTTCAGCTTGAATTTATAGCTGGGTGAAACTCACCACCTCACACCCTGTCAGGAATGAAGTGCTTTAGGTTCAGGCAAAAACCTGACCTCTTCCCCCACCACAGTACTGACTTCAGGTGGTTCTGCCTTTCCACTCCAAGCTACAAAGCCTCTGCCTAGCCACCTGCAACAAACAAGTGGCTTGTGTACCAAATAAATCAGTGAGTAGCGGTGGTCATTGTACATTAACTGGTAAGGAAGAAGACAAAGCAGGTTACAGAATAGTTCTATATATAATCCAGATTTTGTGCATGTGTATGCATATGTATGTTCTGAAAGATTCTCATTGTTAATGGTAGTTACCTCTGGAATTATAGCACTTTTGAATTTTTTTAAACCACTTATCCAGTGCCTTGAATGACTACAGAATATTAATTAAAGGAGCAGAAATGAATATTTATGGGTTACCTATAGTGTATGAGGCATTTTATGTATATAGTTTCACGTTACTTAATCTTCACACAACACCACACACACACACACACACACACACACACACACACACACATACATACATGTGCATTACAGGTAAGGAAGTTGAAACTCAGAGGCTTAGAAGCTGCCTGCAGTCACAGCTATCACTGAGCTCAGGCAGAATCTCAGTTCACGTTTTTCTGACTGAACATCACAGTTTTCCTTTTCATATGCTCCCCGAACTGGTAAAACTTTCCAGAAATTCCCAGGCTTGACTAATACACTAGAAGTGGGGAAAATACTTTCTCACTCACTAGACCAAAAATCACATTAATCCTAGATTCTAGTCCCAAATCTGATATTCATGGCTATGTATCTTTAGGTGATTTCTGTATTTCCTTTCCTTTTGTTTTCTTTCCTTTCCTTTCCTCCTCTTTTGTCTTCCAAAAAATTATAGATATCCTTGGAATATTAAATAAACTATAAAATAAAAGGTTCTTGCCAAGAGAAAAAAATTGTGTCTATATCAGTGACTACTTAGAAAACCATGTCAGTGAAACTGTTGTCTGGCTAACTGGGATGTGGGCAGAGCACTATTCTTGAGGAAATTTATAGCTTTAAATATTTTTATTACCAAAAGATATAGAATAGGTTGCACGTTGCAAAGAAAAAATATAAAGACAAAAATGTAGTGATTACATTACAAAACATAAGAACACTATATGAACCCAAGACCAGTTTCTTTGAAAAGGCTGGAAAGTAAACTAGCAAATGATAATTAATAAAAACAGAAAACACACAAATATAAAAAGGCGACACAATCTGGAAAGCTGTGGAGCCCGGGACCCTCCCACTCCGTAGAGGCCATAGCTCTGCCCTGGCCCAGTAAAAACTGAAGCCGATAGGTAATTTCAGGGGCTATTTTCACAAATGACCAGAAACTAAGGATTGGGTTTACATTTGGAAAGAAACTTTGTTGAACATACTCCTCACACTTATGGCCTCTGTTCCTACTCAGCACACACCCTAACCTCTCCTCTGAATCCCAGCCCCAGATTTCAGTGACTCCACATGAGTCTCCTTCCAAATGTTGCCACCCAGATCTCATAGCCTCTTTTCTCCTCCTCTTGTTTCTCCTCACATTTCTTTCCTCTGCCTCAACCTTTCTCTAGTTCTATAAAGGACAGTATCTTTCTATCACCCCAGCGTAACTAGAGGCATTGTTTTAACGGCTCCCTCTTTGTCTTGTACATTTGTTAACCTTGGTAAACTCTCGGTTCTGCATTCACAGTGCATCTATTTATCCTGCCACTGTCCTAGCCCAGCTGTCTCTCTGTGACAAGCCTCTTCCTTCCCAACTTTCTACACTTAACCCACGACTGCATTGCCTAGAAACCTTAAATGACTTTCTATTGCTAACAACAGAGTCAAAATATGTTGGCCACAGGTTCAAGGG